AAAACACTATTTAAAAAAATAATAGCAATAATATCTGAGTAACATTGTGTTTACATCACTAAAAATAATGTGAAGTATTTAAATTCAATTTCTTTTATGGAGGCTAGTTTGCAAATCCAAAGACTTCACAGCAGAGAAGCAAAACCACTATTTGTATGTTTGCAGAGCAAAGAATTCAAAGATATTGACTCTCATTAGAAGGTACATAATTAAGTTTCGTTCCATTCAAAAACTCATTATACAGATAAATCCTATTTCAAGTTGGAAAAGAAAATATTCACCTATGTAAGGGTTCAAAATCCTATGTTTTCCTTTTTTTTTTTTTTTTCCCTAAAATATAAACATATCTAAGTACAAATCAAAAGATATATTTATAAATAAATAAATAAATAAATAAATAAAAACCTAATAACTCAGGAATTATCCTTAAAATTATTTGTACCACACTAATGCAAAAATACTTTCTTACATGGGCTATGCAGCTACTTAAAATTAGCAACATTCAATTCAATAATTGCCTTGCTTGTGCATGTCAGTGTTGCATTTGCTTGTTTGAGAGTACTTGTTTGGCCAGTGCTGACAATTCCTAGCATGGTACAGAGTGTTAAAATCTAAATAACATTTGTTAAACTCAATTCCCTAGGTCTAGTAATAAGGAGAGCATTTTCACGTGCAATAGGGTTTTAAGTATATGTTTTCCATATTTCAAAGAAAGTTTCTAATGTTTTCCATATGCACCTAAAGAAAACAAGATACAGATGATAAAATGTGATGAATAAACCTTAAATACATGGATTCTTTTAGAGAAAGAAGTCTTAAAAACCAAAAGTTGTAAAATACTAGAAGTTGCACAAGTTGAAATTGTTCATTAACATGTTTGTTGAGAGGGGCTGGCTCAAGTGTGGCATCTGTACTTAAGATAATTCTGTTGTAATGTCAAATACCAACATTTATTGCCCATTTAACCCACTACTCTTCCTTACTGAAATGGGATTGAGCTAACCTGTGTGTCTTACTCATTAATCTTTCCTCAGCAATTCCTCAATGAATTTGGGTTGGATACTTTAAGCATCCTGAAATCCCATTTCCTGAAGCTGCACAGCTGGTCAGAAAGCCCACAGGTGAATTGTGTACAAGTGTTTGAATATCATCTTGCTTGACTAAAGTCTCAACCATCAAAATCTACACTTAAGGTAATAGAGCTGGTTTTATTTTGATCGGAATCAGTCTTGAAACAGAGCAGTGTTTGGCATAGAACGGTGTTAATAACAATGAAAAGGGGAAAATGACACTAAATGAATTGGAATGCAGAAAACTAATGCTATCTAACACATCACTGAGTAAAGACATTTGTATGACTTTACAGAGCCCAATGGTTTCTTTAAAAATGCTATTTTTAATAAGTTGCATAAATAGGTTACACAGGGGGTAGCAAAGAACACGAAATTTGCCCTCCCATGTGCATGAATGATAGCTCTCAAAAGCACTGTTTCACAGCCTTTATGGGTGAATGCTCTCAAGCAGGGATAAATGAGATATTCTACAGTCAATATTTTTGCTGTGAATATCTCCCAACACAAATCCTATGATGAAAACAAACTTGTTAGGAAGCTATTATCAGAAACCAATATCTTCTGACACTTTCAAATTATTGTTACTCCCAGTGAAAACAGAGAACAGCAGTTCAGCTCCTCAGATACCATATAAAGAGAGAGCAAAGACAGAAAAATGAAAAACTTAAAAATATGCACAATGTTTTCAGGATCATGTCCAGTTAACCTTAGCATTATAATCTCAGGTAGGCCCCCCAAGCTCGTACTCTCTTCCTCTGGACAGACTGATTTCCTCATGTATCAAATAATCTCTCCCATATACTCATTGCACTACATGGTTATCCAGTTCATTTTTCCTTTACCTATATATTCTACACCATGATATATTCACAGTCAGACAAAATTTGCTTTAAATAAAATTAAAGCATTTAACATAACCCTCACTTTCTTTTCCTGCCCTATAGCTTGAACATTTATCTATTTTGTTTTTTTAAATCATGTTATGTATCAAAGACATACAGTGGTGATTGGTATTGTATTGCAGTAAGATGAGGGAACATGACTTATACCGTGTTTGAAATACTTTGTAAATGTACAAGATAATAAATGCATTTCTGAAAGAGAATATTAAAAATCAAGCTGGTAATTTTATCAGCATGTAGAAACAGATAATTAGAGGTCCTACAGCAGTGAGTACTCATTATGTAATGAAGTTGGAAACAAAGTTTTTATTAGTAACAGAAATAATTCTATGGGCCATTTTCAAATTCCATTGGGTAGATTGGCCAAGTGTAATGCTATATCACAGACTCAGAGATATATCAGTAAAAATGAAACGCTAATATGAAACATAGCATCTTGATTAGAAGACTTATCTTCAATGATCTTTCTTTTTTGTTATGTCTGAAGAAGATGAAAATTTCTCTCTACTGTATTCTTAATAGATGCAAAATCCAATGTTAACCTCTGAAAATTGTCCAGGCAGGAAGTCTCTGCTGTTCTGATCTGACTGTTTGTTAAGACAAATAGTACCACTCTACATTTGGAGCTTTCCTTTATGTTAAATTGTCTTTTTTTTTTTTTTTTTTTTTTTTTTTTATGATTGTGTGTTTCTTTTATAACCAGACTAAAAATCACACTATGAATATTATTTTTCTTTGCCTTCTGCTTACTGTTTGTGCTGTCAATGAGCAATTACCTAATAACAAATTTGATGTTTTCTACAGGATCAAGACTGCCATACAAAATCGTTTCTCTCCAGAAGCACATTCATTTGTTTGCTCTGACATCTACCTTGACCAAGCAGGTGACCCACCACTCACTATCACATTTTCCTAATAGTAAACCTTACTATTATTTTTATTTTTACACTTAATATCTTTCTTTGTGTTGATCTTCTAATTCACTTAATAGATTATATATCACATATTTCCCCTTTTATAATTCCCCTTTTTGCCTTCTGATGATATAATGTTTAGAAAATCAATGTAGGGGGGAAAAAGAACTGAAGGAGTCAGAGCAGAGGGAGAAGAGATATACCCCCCACTCTGTGATGGGAAGTAACAGGAAAGCTGAATGAATCTTCAGTTTAACAGTGAACAGTAAATTAAGCAAGAATTTGAAATGGTGTAATTAAACAAAAACAACACAACAATAACAAAAAAAAAAAAAAAAAAAAAAAAAAAAAGCAAATAGCTCTGTACTTCATATTTCATCTTATCTTTGCAATACAGGAAAACAGAATAAGGGGACTGTGCCTGAAGAACTGTGTTCAGACCCGTCTTCCAAATTACTAAAATGATAATGAAAATTTCAAGTGCAAACAAGATTTTTCAAGAGGAAAGATTAAAGAACATTAATATAGTTTTATGAAACACTTTCCAAGGTGGAAGAGGAGAGTAATTTAGTTGAATTGATAGAAGTACAACAGGGAGCCCTGAACATGGGGGGTGAAATCTGGGTCAAAAAAAAAAAAGAAGAAATGCAGAAAATAATCACTCTGTGCTTTGAAGATGCCTTCATGAATAAAGGGAAGATCAAAATCCTCAAGGGATAAATGTAACATGTCTTAGTGCCAGAAGTTGTACCAGAGGAGGTTTAGGTTGGACATTAGGAGAAACTTTTTCTCTCAGAGGGTGGCCAGGCACTGGAATGGCTGCCCAGGGAGGTGGTGGAGTCGCCATCCCTGGCAGTGTTCAAGAGGTGCCTGGATGAGGAGCTACAAGATATGGTTTGGTAGCTTGTGGTACTGGGAATAGGAGGGTGGTTGGACTAGATGATCTTGCAGGTCGTTTCCAACCTTGCTATTCTATGATTCCATGATTCTATGACATGCCTCCAAATAGACTGAACTGGGGAACATTTGACAAATACTTTCCTAAGGCAAATTATGAAGAAACACATTTAACTACCTGCTCAATGACTGAGACGCCAGCAAAAGTGGGGTTTTACTTTCTTTTTGCTAATTCCACTACTACATTTCTGTGATCACTCTGGATTCAATTCTCGCATCCTTCCTCACAATCCTAGAATCACCAAAGTTAGAAAAGTCCTATAAGATCACATAGTCCAACTGTCCACCTATCACCAATATATTCCACTAAACCATGTCCCTCAGTACAACATTGAAACATTTCTTGAACATCTTTAGGGACAGTGAGTCCACCATATCTCTGGGCAGACTATTACAGTGCTTAACCACTTTCTTGGAGCAGTATTTCCTAATGTCCAACCTGAACCTCCGCTGAAGAAACTTAATATTAAAAGCAAATTACATCCTAAAATGACAGATTGAATATCTGTGAAATATGAGCAGAGCAGCCCCAAACAAGACCATTATTGTTTTATCACCATCTTTTGTTGTTTATAAATCCAAGTCTGTTATTTATCAGTTTGTATTATGTAAGACTGTAATGCAATATCAAAGGTCCTGAAAATCAAGCATTTGATTTGAAGGGTATTCTGTCTTTCTAAAATATACTATCAGAGGGCTATGGGAAGAGAGTTAAAGTGTGCTGTAAGCATTATCTTATCACTGGCTCTTTTCCAGACACTCCCATTAATTAATCACATTAGTCAAAAAGGTTTGAAGGCTCTGAGATAAACAGTAGAAAGGAAAGCTAATAGAGAATATAAACTAAAATAAAGAAAACTGTAAAGAAAAACTAGAGTGTTGAAGATAAGATTGAGGGTGATCAAAACAGGGTTTTCTGAAGTTTAGTTTCTCCTGGGGTTTCCACCACATGTAATCACAACATCTTTATACATTCTATCCACATTAAATAAAAACTATGTGATCAGACTCCTGCTCACAATTCAGTGGCCAAAACCTGTCAAAAAAGCAGGTCTATTTAACAGACTTTTCCCACTTATTTTCTCACTGGAGGCTCAATTGTTTGCATAAAGAAAGTAAAGGACAGATTTAAATAGAAAAGTTTAAAAGTTTACCTGAAGAATTCCATGAAGGAGAAGCCATAGCCATGCTGTTCAGCAATTCCTGCACAAACAACGTTTGCAGATGCTCCAATCAGTGTTCCATTGCCTGCCATTCAGAAGACAGATAGTGGCTTAAAGTTACGCTCAGTTTCTTACACTTATGCTGTCTATTCTGTGCTGAAGTCCCTAGATGTACTAGCTGGAAAAGAAAAATGAATTTCTGTTGGATAGACTTGAAAAGAAACACACAGACAGTATGTCTACATCCTAAAAATAGCTTCAGCCTGGTGCCATTCTCAGGTTCTACATAAAACAGGAAAACAGGGAAGGAAGATAATATCAATCTAACTTCAAAGTAACACTAGGGACTTGAGTTCAGATAAACCTGCTGATTTTTTTGCTGTTGTTTTATATATGAAAAGATTCCATCAGATGAGTTGAAAACAAAGGATGAAATAATACAGGAAAGAAAACAGAATTTTGCAATAATATCTTCAGCAAACATTAGGGGATTTTATGAAAAATGGATGCCTTCTTTCCCCACATAGTAATGACACTTACAAATGAGTCTTTTATATATATACAATTAGGATAATTAGTTGCTGGTTGGATTGCATAGCTTTTTTTTTCTCATAAGTAAAAATCTGGAGACTGGAAGACAAACACCTATCTGTTGAATTCAAAAAGATCATATAAAGTTTATTTGCCAAACTACAGCAGTTCTTTCTAACATGGAAGGAATACACTTTACTCACTGAACGTCAACAAATTACATTATACAGGCCCTCTTATGACATGTACATGCAAAAGGAAAATAATATCATTTTTATAAAGTGCATCTATCCTCTTGAAAGAACTACATACCTTTTTTTTTTTCTTTTTTTTTTTTTAAAAAAAATTCTAAGCTGTTGCCAGTAACTAATTCACTCCCGAGTTTTCTCTAAACTTTCAACAAAGTTACAACATAAAGTTAGGCATTCAAGGCTCAGAAGGACTGACTCATTTTCTATAGCTCTCCCCTGAGTCATACCTTAGACTTAAGAAAAGTTGTACACTTCACTTCCACAAATCAGATGTCTTCATCAAATAATTCTGCTCTAAATCATGAATTGGGAAGTAACAATGACTCCTATATTCTGTTGTTTCATTAAAATTTTGAAAAAAAAAAAAGAGAAAACTATCTGAAAGATTTTTTTCTTTTATACTGTAGCAAGTCACCTCTTTTGTTATACATCTATACATAAAATATCCTTTATTCTAAGCACAAGTCTTCATGTGTTTGACTGTCAAAGGCTTACAGTTACTCTTCTCATTTTGGTTCTGTTAAACATGATTGCTCAGTGGAGATACTTGTAGTTTGAGAAAAAAATTCTCAGAAGGTAATTAAAGCTACAGTTAATTGTTTTGACCTAGTAAATGTTTCAGGTTACCCAGATCTCAGTTTACCAAAGAATCCATCAGATTAAGGCAAAAGCAAGATTACCCTAAGTATTCAAACATGATACATATACATTTCCTGGAGATAAGGAAAATATCCTCCCATGTCCCCAGCTCCAAACAGATATTTTATTTGTTTTCTTTTTTTTCCCTATTCCTATTTTTTCTTCTCTACCAGGAACAATGCTAGGTGAAGAGCTTCCTACTTGCTGTTTTTAAGGTTTTAACTTTGCAAAGAAACTGAGTGCACCAGTCCTTTCTGTCTCTAAAGAGCTCTCCTGACATTAGTGGGACTGCTCGTCAGTAGAAGAGCATATCCCTACAGATCATAAAAACATTGTAGAGCACTCTTGTAAGAGTAACAAGAGGCTACTTGTGACCTAATTTTCATATCACACAGAATGATTCACTACATGTCATCACAAGTGTGGTGATAAGAAATGATCTATCTTCCTAGTGGCCAGAAACGTTTAAAAAACAGTGCCTAGAGCAGTACTGGTCATAAGAAACAACACAGCTTATTTACTCTGTCCTGTCTGCCTCAAAGTGTATTTTAGTTAATATATGCTCAGAGATATGAAATAGAACTTAATGAGAATTCTTGTTAGGCTTTCACATAAGAAAGGCAAAACACAAAGCATGTGGCTTAATACACAACCAGAGCAAATTAATACAGCTGAAGTTATTAGAAGAGCAAAACAGAAATACTTCAAGAATTTTCAGTTCCAATACTAATTATTAGTCTACATTCTCCCACCATTTTGTAAGAGTCTGCTTTACATGTAGCAAAATCAGACTTCACCATCAGAATAATTTTATTGTAGACAAGGAATATACCTCTGGCTTCAAATTAAAGGAGCAGGACTGAAATTATACTTTTCCCATGGCTGTGACTAGATACAGCCAGGATTTCCAAACACACAGTCTTCCATACTGTACAGGAGCTACTGTAGAGCATTCAGATAATGAGGTATTATGGAAAGAGCTTCTGCATCACCACTGCATTGGTTTCCCTGAGTAGAAGTCACTAGAGGAGAAATCATGTCTTTAAGGTTATCTGAAAAAGTAGTATTTCTTTTTCATTTGTTCAGACTGTGTGAGCAGTTTAATTAGGTATTGGTTACTCATGCTTCAAAGAACTGCACTGAAATTATCAACCAAGACAAACTTTTGTTTCTCCTCCAGGAACATCCATTTTAATGACAGGCATTAAACTCAGCAGTGAAACAGTGACACTGTGTCCTCTGAATCACAGAAAAGTCAAGACTAGATAGATGTAAATGGAATCCTATGTACATTAAATTTGTTCAAATTGACGCAAACGAAGAGCAAGCATTTTCTAGCATTTCACAGAATCTTTACTTCATCATCATATCATCTTCAGCCTTAAGAATAATTAACATTAAAACACATAGTGAAGGCTCTTATTTAATTACTTGTATGCTCAAGCTATAATTGCACACCAGTGAATTTATCAGAAAACACCAGTTTTGATGACTCCTACTGTAACTCATCCTTTATCACAACACATATACTTACCAAGAATTTATATTCCTTACAGTTAAATAAATGCAATATTTCTAATATCAATAGAAGGTGATATGTTTGAGGTAAGACATATATAGTATCTTTCATATCTATTCTACCGTTTTTTTCTTGGTACACTGCAGGCATCCTTTTAATGCCAATTATGCTTAACAATTCATAACCATGAAATCAAGAGAACCTTCCTTCTTAATGCAAGAGAAAAAAGAAACATGTTTGATGTATGATCTCAGAAGTATTCAGACATCTTTAAAGTGAGGATGCTATCTACACAACAGAGAATAAAATGGCAGAGGAATCCTTATGGATCATGCTCATTTTTCCATGTAGCTGCCCTAGCTTTGCACAACCACTGCAGAAGCATAATAGAAGGTCTTCTACTATTTCTGGCCAGAAGCAGAGATAAAAAAAATTATTTTCTCACAGGAAATTACTCTGAATATCTTAAAAGAATGCAAAATTAACTTCAAGTATAAGAAAGTATTCAACAGTTTTAGTTAAAAATAAATTCATGAAGAAATATTTGAAAGCAAAGCCCACATTTAAAAATGTGATCTTCCATATTCATCTAACTTAGAGATAAAAGCAGAAAGCTCTTGAGAAGGTTACTTAAGACTGATTTGATACCTGCCATATCCAAAAGCCCTGCTTTTTCCAGACTTCTTCTCCACTCAGTGTTATTATTTATTATTGCCCTCCACTACATCACTACTTTTAAGATTGCTAAATTCAAGCCCCATACCTAGTGCACCTGCCTGAGCTCAGCCAGCCTCTGCTTTAGCAGAGTTCATCTACATGATTGCACTCTGCAACGCACTGAAAATCACTGTTGGGAGAATTTAAGAGTCTTTTCAAAAGTTGGGGCTGGGAAGCTGGGAAAGAATCATAACAAGAAAAGGGAGACAGTTTACATCAATAATGTTTCCTCTTACTTTAAATCTTTTTCTCATTGTGTTACTTGGCAGCAACACATATGTTGCGTCTAAATACCACTGGTTTTTAGAAGCATCTTTGGTATTGCTCTCTCAAGAGCAAGCCTAGCCTTTTTGTCTGCTGCATTCCTAATATGTTTGCCTGGAGAATTACTTTTAAAGTGTCTAGCAGGATCAGTGTTTATTACTGAAAGGAATGAGAAATCCAAGGGAATTAAATAAAGCTATTTTGCCTGGCATGGGAAAATAAAAAAAAGAAAAAAAAAAAAGAAAAAAAAAAAAGCATCATAAAGATGGGTTCTCAAAATATAAATGAGCTAGTATCTTGTGCAACAGCAATTTTTAAAGGGGATAGATTATGGAAATTTTTTGCTTTCTTCTGAGCATCACACACCACTTCTCAACCTGAACTAGCCAACAGACTTTCTGCATTTTCTCATCCTTGTATCTCTGGTTGCCTATCGCCACAGAAAAAGACTACACAATTTTCATATCAAGTACTGAACAAAGGCTGTTATTTAGCAATGTACCAGTAGAGAAAAGTGTTTATTATTTTTCTTAAATCCAATTATTTCAACAGCAAACATGAAACTCAGTATCCTGCAGCCACAATAAAAGACAGACAAGCCACAAAGTAGGTTTGCCCCAGCCTTGGGAAACCATCTGTGTAAGCCACAGCTTTATTTAGGGATATCTCTTTGTGCAGCTTTGTTCCAGTCAAGTGCTCTCACTTCAAAACCAAGAGTTAACTACAGAACCATTAATAATTTTTTCTCATCCCTGTTTTTTGATGTAATCGATCTCTACTATTAAAGCATCTATCCATAACTTATTTAAGAAAGCCAGCTCCTTTCCTCCTATCAATTTTCAAAAGAAAATGCTGTGCACTCTCCTATGCGCTTTATATAGTTAGGCATAGGTAGACTGATTTGTGCGGCTTCTATCCCATAGAATATGTCATTTCTCTACTGGAAACATGATTCAAACAAATACAATAAATCTGTCTACAGAACTGAACACGAAACAGTTATGGTATTGATTAGCCTTGCAAGAAACAACCCTCACAGCTTTCACAAATTTTGTATTTTACACAAATCTGACCCACATTTGCCTCACTAAACAGAGACATTTATGTTAATCTCTTAAGCGCGTACAACTCCTGAATATCTTCTAATTTTTTTAATGTGTAAAA